ACCAAGTTGAGACTAACTGACAGGCCGCAAATCCACTGATGAGTTAGGGGATGTCTACCCCAAGCACGTGAAGAATTTCCCCCATGGCCTTGAAGGCAGCTGAAGCAGTTGCTGTGGAGTGCTTAGTGCTTGGTCAGATATTGAAGATGCCAAGGTCATCCACTGCATCCCAGGCCATTACCAGTCACCTTGATTTTTGTCTTGCCACTGAACTTAATGACTGAGGCTGATGACTCTGTGCAACTCTGCCTCAACTTAAATCCAATTCACACCTCATGTAGTCATTGGTCCTTTGTAAAAATGAAGGGCTTAGGGTAAAAAAAAGAAACCTGGGTCCAAAGTCTGAAAGTGGTCAGGGAGGAAGACTGCGTAATTAATTTATTCAGAATCCAGAATAGCTCCAGAATTTGTTTCTTGATAGAGTTCAAATTAGCTTAATTACTTTTTTCATTTTTAATATTCTATGACATTTTTCTCTGTATTTTTTGTTACATTTAGGTTGTGTCCCTCCCTTTTTTTGTTACATTTGTTACATTTAGGTTGTGTCCCTCCCTTCCCACACACTTGAGAAGTGTACCATTTGATCCAGATGTATAAACATATATAAAACTGTGCTATGTGTAATTCTATTTATCAGTTCTTTCTCTGAAAGTTTATTGCATCTTCCTTTATAGGTCCTTTATAATTGATTTGAGTATTTATAGTATTCAGGATAAATTCAAGAAAAGTCTGCTTCATGGAGAAAGTTTATAAACTTGTCTGTAAGATATCCTATTTATGTGTTTCTGGCTACTCATATTCTACCGGAACCTCCTCATCCTGCAGCATTCATTGGATGTTTTTACTTTCTTACCCTGGAGCATTTATCTACCATTATTAGTGAATTCCTCTTGAAGCCTCCATTTTGAGGAAGGGCACAGGGCCAGTCATCCTTCATTCCCCTCCAAACTTTGCTTCTGATTTTCCTGACGTGAGCACTATGCCCTCATATAGGTATTTTCCTTTTCCAGCCCCACTCCCTTTTTCATCTCCCTTCTCATATTATCTTTTGCCATTGGAGTACAGGCTCATTGAAATAAAGCACTATTTCTTTTTTTCTTGTTTTAGTATCCCCTGTACTTAACACATTATCTAGTCTACAGTAACTGATTAATAAATGCTCATTGTCTTACTTGGCTAGTCACACTCTTCCCCTTTGACTTCTATGACATCTCTCTTTCCTCATTATCTTCTAGTTGGGATTACTGTCCTTGCCCTATTTCCCTGCTCTCATTTCCTCATTATCTTCTAGTTGGGATTACTGTCCTTGCCGTATTCCCCGGCTCTACAGCAGGCCTTCTCTTCTTCCATCTTCTTCTCTCTCTTGGTAATCTCATCTATTCTCTGAGTTCAATTTTCATTTCTACTAATTGTGATCACTGGCTCAGAAGTCAGTGAAAATGTGTTGAAATCCTGCTTCTGATACTTACTATTTTCAACTTTGTGAAAGGCTTTTAACCTTTCTGGACTACAGTTCCATATTTATAAAATGAGGGAGTAACCTGGATGGTATCTGAGGTTCATTCCATCCCTAGATCTACAAACTTATGATATCTCATCAGTGACACTAACTCATTGTTGGCGTATAGTAGGCATTTAGGAAGTATTAGTTGTTATTTAACAGAGGTTTATCTACATGAAAAAAGTGTGAAAACTATAGTAGTTCTGAACTAAAGACTGAATTTATTGAACTAATGAAATGGATTCATGTGACCATATTATATTGTTCCTCTTCACTCTCCTCTCTACCCTCTTACACGCCTTAGAGGGATTTGCTCTCTTTCTATATAGCTGTATTTAGAGTTTACTTTTTTTATAATAAATGAGATTACTTAATATAAAATCTAACAGCTTCAGTTCTTACTGACTCCAGCTTAATCAAATTTTTACTGTTCCAAAATATTTTCAGCTGTGTACAGAACTCTATCTCCAAATTTACTTTGGCATTTTCTAAAGTGTCAATCTCAGCATTTAAGAATTCTCTCTATATGGCTGAATTGTCTGCTATTGGTCTAGTCTACACTTCGTTCTGGTTATAAGTCTGAAATTCTGAGGCTGTCTTTATTTGCGGTGCTTCTTGAATAACTATAACAATAGAATCAGTTTATGATTGAGATTTAAGCATCTTAAGCTTCTGCCTTTTAAACCAAGATTAAAGGCAGATGTGTTATGGACCATTATTAGTTTCTCAATCATTAAAGTCATGGAGAAAATTTTTAAAAGGGTCTCCATAAATACACTTGATTTTAATGTGAATGAACACTTGGTGCTAATTATTATTCTATGACTTGGACACAATGTTTGCATCAATCACATATGGCATATGGAAAGCACATTTACCACAGACATTCTCTTTGGGAATTCTTGGAACCTTTAAATGCCCAATTAAGTAATGAAGATCCTTAAATACCTATTACAGATATTTACAGATTATACGCAACTTTTGTTTTGGGCATGTTCCTTAAAAGTCGAAAGCAAAGTCCATATTCCAAATCTTAAGCTTGTCATATTAAGGGAAAAGAGTTAACATTTGTTTTCCTTTACTTACATAAAATCTTTAATGCACATGTCAGTGCCAGAGGAGACAAGGAAAAGAGAGCATTCTCATTGAACTACATCTGTACAGTGTATAATCCTCTGGTATACAGGAATGCTACATCTGCCCTCTCATCCTCCACTCCTCCTTTTAATGTCCTTTTTCTACATAAGCGTACTTAGCTTCAGACACAAATTGATGAGATACATTTTCAATGTATTCTGATGTTTTCCTAATGAAACACTTAGCACAGCCACAGGCCCAGTCTTCTCAATTCTACTAATGACTCCTTAGTCTATTTCAAATCCATCCTTGAGAAGCATGACCTATTCCAGCTACTTTTAGATTTTGATGATAGCCAGTAGTATCTTACTCAATAGGATTAAAGTACAGTACTTTCCATTTATGGTATATGTGTGCATACATATACACATGTTTACATATATAAACATGTACATATAAATATTCCTATATACATGCATGCATGTTCATATATATTCACATATACATAAACATACAAGGAAAGAAAAAAAGAAAGCAGTCTTTCATTAAATATCACTTACGACAAATACCTCACAGGCATCTTAAATATTACATATGGAACTATATTTCAGTATTTGGAACTTTAGAGAATATACATATAGACACACACATATACACAAATACATGTAAGGTTCCAAATATACATTTACATTTTCTCTAGGGTTCCAAATATACATATACATATTGAGTTTGTTGTTTTCTGAAACCTTTAGATCTCTTTCATATGGTCTGTCTTTCTAGTCTTGTACTTGCATTGAAAACATTATCAGACTGCAATTTTTAATTTATTCATATTAAATTTCTCATTTAATTTAGAACAATTTTCTAGCCAAATCTTGGGTTTGGTCATTGAGTATGTTGGCTTACCCTTCCCACTTTGTGTCATTTACACAATTTACATGCATGATATTTAGCTATACCTTTATCAAAGTCATTTTTGAGGAAAAAAACTGAAATGACAAGGAGCCAAGCAGAGACATGTGGTCTACTCCTCTGCAGACCTTCTTCTAAGCAGACATGGAACCAGTAAGGATAATTTTTTGAGTCTAGTCATTCAACCATTTCCCAATTCATGATATTGTACTATAATCTAGAAGACATCTCTAGATATTATGAGTAGCGTAAGAGATTTTTGTAAATGTTCCCATAAAATCTGGATAATTTAATATTTACAGAATTCCCCTGATATACCAGTTTAGTAACCTTATTCAAAATAGGCTTTAGTTTGGTGTATAGGCTGCTAAATGGCACAGTGTCTAAAGAGTGGGTGGGCAGCTAGGTGGTTCTAGGCAGCTAGGTGGTACAGTGGACACAGATAGAATGCTGGGCCTGAAGTCAAGGAACTCATCTTTCTGACTTCAAATCCAGTCTCAGACTCTTACTAGCTGGGTGACTCTGGACAAGTCACTTAACTTTGTTAAAATGAGCTGGAGAAGGAAATGGCAAAGTATTCCATTATCTTTGCCAAGAAAACCCCAAATGGGGTAAAAAGAGTCAGATACAATTAAAAATGACTGAACAATAACAACATATAAGGAGTGAGTCTTGGAGACAAGAAGATCTGAGTTCAAAAACTATCTCAGACACTAGATGTGTGACTCTGACCATGTTAACCTGTTTCAGCCTCAGTTTCTTTATCTTTAAGATGCATATAATAATAGCACTTACCTCATAGGGTTGTTATGAGGATCAAATGGTTTAAAACAGGTAAGCCATTCACAAATATGTAAAGGGTTTTCTGATGAACTTTTAAGTGTTTATATTACAAGTCACATTGGTATTTGTGATCACTGTTTATTGTTGTATATATTTATTAATCATTTACAATCATTTACCTGTTGATATTGCTCATCATTCTTGAAGAGGACCAAGGATTTCAGGAAGGTGATATCTTGACTTGCAAGTCAATTGGATTTAAATGGGGCAGAACTGTGCAAAGTCATTGGCATCACTTTCTCCTCCAGAGGGTCGTCCCCTCTCAGAATGATTGTTTTCAGAAGGCAAACTAAGCCATCTTTTGCCTCAATTCTTACCTATCTTTAATCATTGAATCATTTAAGTTTAGGTCTTTTCCAGGCCTCATTTTATTTAAAGGTAGACCCATTCAGTCTGGGAGGGGAGTAATCTCAGGATTCTGGCCAGAATAGAAACATTTGCTATTTACACTCACTCTGAGCTATCAGAACCCAAACTATGTATGAGCAAGTGAGGCTTGGGCTGGGATCTATTATTGGCCAATCAATGAGAGCCAGAGTGATTTGGGTTTAAAGGAATAGTCAAGTAGCTCCTTTTGAATCCCAATAGCCTTTATCAAAGCCTGGTTTTAGGGAGTTATATTTCAAGAAACCATAAATGAAAACTACATGACACAAGAGAGTTAAAAGAATTGTATGATTATAGAGAAGGTTAGCACTTCCTTAGATAAAGATGGAAGAGGTCCCAGTGGCCTTTATAACACATGTACAGATAAGGCATTGCTACCTACTCTGTGGTATCTAACAATTTGGGGTTCTTATCCTTTCTTATCCTTCTTATCCTTTGGTATTCTGGTGAAGCCAAAACATTCCTTCTAAGAATAAAGTTTTTTAAATAATTGAAAGAAATGCAAGATTTCAGTTAGAGGTTAGTGAAGATAATGATGAATTTTTTCCCCATTCAAGTTCGTGTATCTCATGAAATCTAAGGTTCCACAAAATGCTGCCTTTCTTTAAACAAGACATCTTTGATCCATTCAACAAAATTATTCAAGATTCCTTTAAAGACAAAAATAGAGATAATTTTGATGACAGTCTTTGCTTGAAAGATCAAAGCACAAAATCGGGAGACCTGCTTGCCCAAGTTGACTGTCACTGTCATAAAGCGAATTTTCCTCAGAGTCCAAGTTGAAGAGTGATTTCCCATGGATGATAAAGTCCTCTATAGGTGCTTATACTTGAAGGTGGAATTTTGCTAGAATATTGCAAATCCTCAAGAAAAAGATCTATAACCATTCAAAACAGTTTATCTGAACTGGCACATAGAAAATACCAAGACAATGTAGAAGGCCTACAACCTATAAGTACTAATATTTGTAAAAGAGACTGCAAATGGACAATGATTTGGGTCTGAAATTAACCTAGAGGAGAGTATGCTGCATTTTTTTGTGATATTGCAAAACACCTTTAATGAATCCAAGCTTTTCCCAGAGACTAAGGTTGATCTCTTTAATACCAATATGCAATCAGTGTTGCAAGGCTGTAAGTCATGGAAAACTATAGTTGTTAAAGAATTAAAAATTAGTATCACTAAGAGGGCAACGGAGAAGTACATGGTGTTGGTGAAAACAAGCTACAACATGTAACATATAAAGAATTATGAGGCGAAAAAAGCAGAGTAAAAGAAGCCATGAAAGAAATCTTGATAAAAACAAAACAAAACAAAACAAAATCATGGGCAGATATCAACAGAGAGAGATAATCGATAGCAGACCATGGGTTCCACTAGTATTATTAAAATTTCAGAAGAAAAAGAGAAAAGCCCTCAGTACATCAGGGGAAATTCTTATGATAAACTTATAGAATAAGCAAGAGTTGCATAGATTAGGAAATTAGATTAGATTATTGTTATAATTATAATTTGTTATAATTTGCATTGTTGGGGGTAACATATACATTGAAAAAGATCTTATATCCATTTGAGAACTAGAAAATTCTGCTAGATATCAAAGTCAAGATCACTGACCTGTAGTTTCCAGATTCCATTTGCTTCCTGCTTTTAAAATTGGAACTTTGTTGTGAAATGATCCAACTATTTTGGAGACCAATTCGAAACTAAGCCCAAAGGGCTATAAAAATGTGCATACCCTTTGACCCAGCAATAGCGCTCCTAGGACTATATCCCAAAGAGATCACACAAATGGGAAAAGGACCTACATGTACAAAAAATATTCATAGCAGCTCTTTTAGTGGTGGCAAAGAATTGGAAATTGAGAAGATGCCCATCAATTGAGGAATGGCTGAGCAAGTTGTGCTATATGAATGTGATGGAATACTATTGTGCTATAAGAAATGATGAACAGGTTGACTTCAGAAAAACCTGGAAAGACTTAAATGGTCTGATGCTGAGTGAAGTGAGCAGAACCAAGAGAACGTTGTACACAATAACAGCCACGTTGTGTGATGACTAATATTGATAAACTTAACCCTTCCTGGCTATACAAGGATCTAAGACATCTCCAGAGGCCTTGTGATGGAAAATGCTATCCACACCCAAAGAAAGAACTATGGAAGCCGAATTGTTATTTTTTTCTCTTCTGTTGAATTTTGTTTCCTCTTTCTGATGGTTCCTCCTATTGATTTTAATTTCTACTTACAACATCACTAATGTGGAAATATGTTTAACATGAATGTAAATGTACAGCCTGTATCAGATTGTGCGTCGTCTTGGGGAGGGTGGTGGGGAGGAAGGGGGAGAAAAATTTTAAACTCAAAAGCATATGGAAGTGATTATTGATAAATCAAAAAAAAATTAAAAAAATTAAAAAAAATAAAACTGGAACTTTGGTTGCTTTTTTCCAGCCCAGATGTTAGTCACCCATTCCTCACAGTATATGAAAGATCACTGACAGAGGCTGAGCAATTCCAACTGCCAGTTCTTTTTAGTACACAAAGGTCTCATTCATTTGGCCTTGATGACTTAGACTCAGTGAGGGGAAGTGTTATTCTCACTCATTTAAACTCTACTGAAGGGAGCATTTCCTCATAATTATGTCTATACAAAATTGGAATGGAGTTTCTCAAGAAGTAGTGGATTTTCCTTCATTAGAGATTGTTAATAAATAGCAAGATGATCACTTGTTGGGCATGTTGTAAGACAGCATTGTTAGTCAAGAACAGGTAAGATTAAATGACTCAGACTGATTTTGTAGTGAGTCATTTTATAGACAGATTATTTTGGAATTCAGAAATTATCAACACCAAATTTAATGCATATGTATGAAGGTTGGGGAAGCAAAGCATACTAAACAGAACAATGTATCAGTATGTTTTCACATTTCATATATCACATTTTACCATTTCCCTGCCTATTTTACAAATAAAAATATGAAATTGTATCCATCTTCTCTGTACCCAGGAGAGAATATCCTATTCCTCTCTTCCTAATTAGTTCAAAGTCTCATTCCTTCTTACCTGGTCTATAGTAATAGTTTCCTTACTGGCCTATCTACCATCAGTCAATTTTTCATACTATCATATACTGTTATCAAATCTATTCTGCATGCATACTACATTAAATTATAAGTGCTTTGAGGGCAGGGACTTTTATATCCTTTTGTGAATCCATTAATTAATTAATTGATTAATTATTGACTAATTGATTAATTATAACTCTGTCATGTTAAACTTCCTGATATATCACTCTGATCATGCCACACTCAAAACTAAATTCTGCCTTACATTATAATTATCTTGTACCTTTTGACTACCTATTAGATTGCATATTCTTTGAAAGCAGGGATAGCATCATTTTATCTTTCTATGCCCATCTCCTAATACACATAGATTCCTACTAAATATTTTTTGGAGAGAATTAAATTATACTACTAGTTAAATTACTAGACTATATATGAAATACATTCAACTCAAGAGAGAAACAGTAAATCTTTCAGGAGCACTGGGACTATCTGGAAACTTGAGACTTTCATTACTGACTTGCTTGTATTAGACGTGTACTTCACTGTCCTCAACAGATGTATTCCTGAAAAGTCAGACTTAAGAATGCAATAAAAATTTAAAAATCATCATTTAAAAATAATTATAATTTAAATTATTATTACTAATACTAAGAAGGCGATTCAGAAATCAAGAGATTCAAATCTCAGGCTCACACTTGCTACCTTGATGACCTTGGACAAGTTACAAGCTTCTTAAATCCTAGGTCCGTCATGTGTAAAATGAAGGAGTTGAAATACATAGACACTGAGGTCCTTTTCAGTTGTAAATCTATGACACAATAACAAAGTACAAAAACAAAATTACATACGTATGAAAACCAGCGTGCCAGAGACCACGTTCCCTAAGAATTAGAAGACTAAGGATATGTTTTCTGAGTATTTTCTTAATTTTAGCCTATGAATTTATATCTATTCCAATATAAATATTTCCCTTTTATAGCCCTATGCTCTTAGATATTTCTATTAAAAGGGTTTATCTTATGTCAAATCCCTTAACTGTTTTTAAAAGCCATAGTTAAGTTTGGAAAGTGGTTGTTGATATTTTGATTAAGTATCTTTTTTAAAGTGAGGTCTGGCTTAATTTTCCACACATTTGGATATCGAGCGCTATTCAAAAGATAATTACTGAAATTTATTTATGCAAATGTTCCTTTCAACATACAATTTTCCTTTAAGTGTGGCACACCTGTTTTATGTTCAATTTGTACAAAAGGTATCTATTTTTTTCAAGTGGAAAAATCAAAGCAATGTATTTTAAATTTATATTTTTAATCTTGTATATCCTTTCATAATAATATATTTTTAAAGTTTCATTTGTGCATGTTCCAGGCCCAAGGCAATTTGGATTGAAATTCAACAAAGACAAAGTTCTCTTTCAGAATGAAAATGCCATTCAATAATACAATAGAGTCTTCAAACCTGCCTTGTGTCAGATGTTCTTTAAAATTGAGCAATCCATCTCTTCCTGTGAAATGCATTATTTTAAGAGACCTTTTCATATTTGCTGTGTTGCAAGTTATTGGATTTCCCATTAGCTTGTTCACTGGTAGTTATCAGATTATCACTAAACATGAAGAAGAAAATTCACTACACTGGCAACTTTTCACATTTGTACTTTGGGGAGATGTTCATGTCTTGACTCACAAGATAAAAAAAAAAAAGAAATGTTAAAGGTCAGTGCATTTGGACAAGAATTCCATTTAGAACATTTAAATATCTGAATGTTTTATTTTTTTCATTAAAACACAGATGTATGTGCGCGCGCGCACACACACACACACACACACACACACACACAGAGGCATAAGCCAAAGAAGGAAAACAATACCACAAACCATACCACTGTTCACTATCACCACCAACTACAAAAATCAAGCTAAAAAGTTAATCTCTTTTTGTGTATGCTAGTTATGACTTAGAAAGAAAACTTGAATAGACACAATCTCATTCAAAATCACAAACTTTAAGGAGCACTGGACTCTGTATCTGGTTTTTTTTTCAATAGTTAAAAAGATTTTTTTTATTTGAAAACAGGTTTTCAAGTCCCATCTTTTATGAGGCAACGTATCACGATGCATTTTGTGTGAATGTGTGTGTGCGTGTCTATTTGTCTGCATATCCAAAATAAACAGAGGTTTGATTCTTTCTGAACACCACAAAGATGCCAGAGTACTTCAGACTGTCAGAGCTATCAAAAGCTTGCTCCTTAGAATTAGATCATAAGGCCCTACTTTTGTCACACCATATTCATACCAAAAGTCAAAAATCAAATGGCTTTTTGCCCTTCTGCTACAA